GTCCAGGGATGACGCGTTCTACGAGATACGAGTTGTTATTGGTTGTAACCAACCCTGGACGGTGGACCCAGGTTCCGGGTACCAAAAGTTCCCTTTGTCGGAAACATCGAAAACAACAAGAGAGGTGTGAGCAAAAAAAAAAAGTCTTCAGGTGGTGGTGAAGACAACAACATTAGGTGAAAATGTAACCAGGCATTCCACACCTCCCAAACCTTGGGGGAATAACGATCGGCACAGAGCCCCCATCATCCCATTTTATCGACGAGATGCATCGTGATGATACTGAAGGTGAGTCAGGTCAGATATGACATACCCCAAAATCTGTCAGGCATTCAAGCGGTATAAGAAGTGCATCATGTATCGGGGTGAAGCCTGTTGAGCTGGACGCCGAGCCAGGCTGTGGAGGTCACCAGACCTGATGAAACCCCAGGGTTAGGCCCTGAACCCTCCCTTGCATCGGATCCGGACTAGGCTGGGTGTGCCTGCTGATGTAACCAACCACTCCGGGCCAAAGCTCCGATTCCGATTCCGAATGACAACACCATTTCGCGAGCTGGCCCGCATACCGGTGAAAGGTATCACGTATAAGAGCTGTAAAAGTGGCGGCTGCTGTGGCTGCGGCATTTCCAACTGGCGTTTGATGAGTTACCTTGCTCACAATATTGCTGGGTTGACTGGATGACTCGTCTAGGCAGCCGTAGAGTAACGGTGGCGCCTGCTGCCACTCCTTGTTCTGTTGGTCTCGATCAGAAACTGCCCCATGTGTGCTCCATCATCTCGGATATGTCTTGTCTCAGCCAGAGCCCCTAACTTTTTGTGGATCAAGACGTGGATACCTGCATAGGTAGCAAGATGTGTCCAGATGAAGTGTGAGTCATTCTTCGTATAGTTAACAAGATCCAGTGTACCCGAGTGCCACCCCCCCTCTGTGAGGGATAAGCTAGATGGATCCATGGAAAGAGTCATCAAAGAATGAAATTATAGTTGCGAGTGTGATCATGTGAAAGAGAAATTGGTGCGAAAAGAAAAGCTTGACAAACCCATTGTCACCACCCAAAGAAGCTGTACGTGAGCGAGTGAGTGTGGGAATCAGGAGAAACTTGTAGCAGTGGTTAGTTGGCTGTGGAAGACGACGCGGGGTCAAGCATTCTGAATATTGCCCAGCGGGCGTCTGTGAATCTTATGGTGAACAGAACCATTATAGCAAAAGGACTCGAAGCACTCTGCAGGGGACATTGATTCATGTGAAGTATGAGTAAAATGTGAGCAGAGGAGAACAAGTCAGTCAGTCAGACAGACAGGTGAGGAGAATCGTCGCATTGAGAGACTGGAGAGGGCGCTGTTGGATCGACGTCGAAGGAAGAGGAGAGAGTTCTGTGCTCTTGGAGAGGAGAGAGCCGCTGGCTGCTTAGTTATTAACTAGTATGCGCTGCAACCCGCGCGGAGGATTAGATAAGACGCCCGGAGCGGAACTAAGGTTCACAGGCGACTAGACCGCAACGGGCCAAGCGCATCTCTACAGAACTTTTTTTTCCTCCTCCAGCATCAACGGCCCAGCGACGCCGACGGTTTGCAGCTCAACTGGCTTTCAGCACAAGAGGTCTGTTCCTTATCCGCAGCGGGTCTAGGATTCTTGTTACCTTTGCGTGCTTGCTTTGCGACACGTTCTCTTGCATCTGCTCCCATCCGCCTATACAGCGAGCCAGTTCAAAATGGGCAAGAAAGCGTCTCGCCCGCCCGCGACGAAAACTTCCTCCGCTGCGTCGCCCGCGGCATCCGGCCTCACATATACCGGGAATAAGTCTTCGATACTGAAGGCTTCGTTTGCCCCTTCGGAATACCAATTGGCGCTTTTTGCATCAGTCATCCAGGGCCTCGATGCTCAGCATCTCCGCATCCACGATACGAACACCGGACGGTTACAATGCGAGCATGTCTTGGGTCCTAAGGAGACGGTCACTTCCCTAGACTGGGGTTACTACTCCAGCACCAAGAAAGATCGCGATCAGCAGTCCAAGAAGAAGAGAAAGAGACCTTCCGACGTCAATGGCAACGGGTTCGACCAGGGAGACGTAGTGGTTGCCATTGGTACCAGTGCCTCCGAAATCCGCATGTACTCGCCCGTGGAGGACAAGATTGTCGGAACGCTTGCAAACGGACATGAGAAAGGTATCAGAGACTTCAAGTTTACCTCCAGCCGACCTGGACAGGAGGGTTGGAGTATCGGCGGTGATAATAAGCTTGTGCAATGGGATCTGTTCACCGGGAAGACGACCAGGTAGCTCTTTCCCCAGCAACATTGGTACAGCCCGGCTTTATACCTAACTGTTATCTAGGACAATTCATATTCCCAGCACATCGGCCCTCAGCACACTGGCGCGCCCGCTTCCCTCGAACCCACCTGTCATCTGCGCCTCTCAGACCCCGTACGTCGTTAGCGTGGAAAAAGACGAAGCCCCAGTCACCTTCGACGCGATGCGGAACCCGATTAAGAACATCATTCCTTCTTCTACGGATTCTGCCGCTTCTGGACTCTTCCTCGCTGCCGATGGCGACCGTTACATCACTGTTTTCGATGTTGAGAAAAGAAAGCTTGCCCTGAACCTCGTGGCTGAGAATGGTGTATCATCAGTGTCTCTGTACACCGGTGCGGAACGGAAGGGTTCTACTCTGCCGGCAGAGAAGCAGGTCATCGCTGCGGTCACCGAGGATGGCACCATCGAACTCTTCACTCGGCCATTCGTGCTGCCGAACGATCAGTCCACTGCTAAGGGCGCCGCTAGCCTCAAAGCCAGATCGAAGCAGGCCATCCGGAGAGCTGATTCTCAGATCAAGGTGACCGTGTCCGCAACATCCAATGCTTTGGTTTCCATGGTGGCCGCTTCGTTCGAAGGTCCGGACTTGGTTGTTGCTTGGGCCGAGGGCGGCGTGGTTCCGGTTTTCGAGCGGATCAAGTGGCTCAACGAAGAGACGGACGACTTGCTTTTCACAGGCACCAAGCATATCGCCAAGTCCAAGTCTGGTTCGGTTCTGGGATCGGTCACGACGAACGGAACGAGAGCCGCTAACGAGAACCAAGTCGACGAGTCCAAGGCAGTTGTGGAACAGGGAAATGTTATTGAAGACGATATCGAGATGCAAGATTCTAAGGATGCTGCTTCTGTAGCTGGCAGTGATGAGGAGTCGGACGACGAGGAGGCGGAACCCAAGCAAAAGAACGATTCCAAGCAGTTGCAGAAGAAGTCTGACGCGGACAGCGATGTCGAGATGGGCAATGCCCAGGAATCTGGCTCGGAGGAGGAGGATGAAGACGAGACAGGCGAGCCTTCTTTCGGAGAGCTCATGCGCGCTAACCAGGAGGTCGACGTGGAGGCTGAGCTTGAGGACGACGTTCATATGGGATCTCTTGTTCCAGGCAAGCCCAGCGCAGCCGTGCAGCAGATTCCCACGGGAGTGTCCCTTTCCACCGTTCTCACCCAGTCCCTCAAAACCAACGACAACGCCATGCTCGAGTCCTGCTTCCACACTGGCGAACTGTCCATCATCCGCACCACTATCCAGCGTCTCGATTCCTCTCTCGCAGCGACCCTACTTCAGAAACTCGCAGAGCGCCTCTCCACTCGGCCGGGTCGCTATGGCCACCTACTCGTGTGGGTGCAATGGACTTGTGTCGCCCACGGCGGAGCTCTCGCCGGCAAGCCCGACCTTCTGAAGCGGATGTCCACCCTCTTCAAGGTCATGGAGCAGCGCTCCTCCAGCCTTCCTTCTCTGCTTCTGCTCAAGGGCAAGCTGGACATGTTGGACGCACAGCTTGGCCTGCGTCGGTCGATCCGTAGCGGTGAAGAGGCCATGGAGAGCGAAGATGAAGAAATCATTATCTACGTGGAGGGTCAGGAAGAGGACGATGACGAGGACAGCGACGTCGACGCCAAGAACATGGCCACCCCGCGGAAGTCGATACGCGACCAGGCCTTCGACGAAGAGGAGTCTATGATGAACGGCGTCCAGACCGGCGACGAGTCGGAGGACGAGGAAGACGAGGGCAGCGAAGAGGAAGAAGAAGAGGACGAGAACATCCTTGACGTGGAGGCGGAAGAGTCCGCCGGATCTTCTGATGCCGAGGAGTCCCTAGAGGAAGATGAAGACGAGGACGACGAGGACGCAGAGAGTGTCGGATCGATGGTAGATTTCATTGCGGACACGGAAGACGAGTCGGAGGACGAGCAAACACTGTCGACCTCGAAGCCACCACCGTCCAAGAAGGCCCGACTGAGCGGCGGAGGCCGAGGAAAGGGGAAGAACAAGGGCAGAAAATAGATGCAATCGTCGATTGATTGATTGATGAGAACCCGAATTCTTCGACCTCCCCTGTAGATCTTATACCCTGTTCATCAGCACTGTGTGTCCCCGGATGATGGTCTTGATTTATACTATTATTTCTTTTTACCACAACCACTACCACTACCACTACTATCCTCCCACCAAAAGTCAGAGAAAGGACAAGGAACAAGGCCCAAAGGATTTTTCAAATTTTGTCTACGTTTTGTTTGGTTATATCTATCTTATTATCTTCTTGTTTCATTATAACATGCATCATTGCTAGACTTTGGAAGGGGAGGGACTAAGGAGCGGAGTACTATGAATATATATTATGATTCATTTGATTCCACTGGTGTCAGTGTAGTGCAGTAATTGCTAGTAGCACACAATATATAAACTCGATTACATATATTATTACCCACGTACCGCCCATCATAGTGGTCCAGGAGGGTGCGTGAAGAGGACAACTAGTACAAAGATATTGAACAATTTCATAAAGTTACCTTAGTACGGATCTATATAGTTACCAAGATACTAGTAACAACTATAGTATACAACAACAACACAAACCACCGCCCCATAGTTCCCACAACAATCATCCTAGTACCCAACCAAGCACATATAAACATACCATAGTACCATCTATATAGTATCTATCCACTACCATCTACCAAACCCTCAACAAATCAAAATAAAAAAACTAAATCACAACAACTCCCCCTCCCCACAAGCCCCCGAATGCAAAACCCTATGCCCAGGAATCTCCTTCAACGCGATCTCCAACGCGACAGTACTCTCCTCCGTCGGATAAGTAGTATAATGTCCCAAAGCACTAACTTCCGCAGTATCGAGGGCTAAAATCGCCCCGTTCTTACCCCCGACTATCCACGCATCGTCTGTTGAGTTCGGGAGAGTGATGTGCGCCACGCCGGAGAGGAAGATGACCCATCTGTTCTCATTTCATATTATTTATTAGCATATATATATACATTTATGTTTATATTTGTTTTCTAGAAGATATGGGTTGAGGGGGGCCGAGGTATGCATACTGGTTCGTGGGCGCATTATGGCGGCCGCCATCATATTCACCGGGGATGAGGAGGTTAGTTGCGTTGCTGGTGACGGAGCCGAGATTGAGCATGGCGGTGCCGGAGACACCAGCTTGGGCGGAGGTGGAGTAGCCTGGGTCGAGGGCCCAGCATTCAAGGACGGATTGGTTGTTGTGTGCGGTGAGGGTGGTGATGTTGAGGGTGCTGGGGAAGGTGGTGGTGGTTGATGCTGCGAGGGCGGTGGTGGTGGATGCAGCAGCAGCAGCAGCCAGGAAGGTGGTTAGGAGGGTGTGCAGGAGAGGCATGGTGGATGATGTTTTATGGTTTATGGTTTATTGGATGGGATATAGTTGTTGATGGGGTAATTAATTGGTTTTATATGCAGGAGTACTGGGTCACGGTGAAATAGTCATTTTGGGAGGGAGAAATGGTTGGTATGCTGGGAAGGGAGCAGAGCGCATTATTTATTGCTCAATATTTATCTGCAGCCCAGTTCAACTCTTCGGATGTGGGAACTTCTTCAGCTTTGAGCACGATCTAGCGATCGAAGCTTGAATCAACCAAGAGGCACTATAGAATGCACGAACCCCCAATCAAGAATGATCTGCGCACCGGTCCAGTTTTCTAGGTTCACTCGACCGGCGACGGTCTATTGCCGCAATCTAACAATGCAACTAAGTATCTACGTACACCTGCCCCCTGGGGTAATAGTGATAGCCAAACCCTTTCTAATCAATAATCATAATGATATGTGCGAATCTGTAATGTTCATTAACGGATGATCTCGTCCCCGAGAATCTCCAGTCCCTCGAGCCCCTCGAGAATACCACTGCCTCCGAGAGGTCCGGCCACAACTGCCGCGCCTCGCTTGGGACCGCTCCATACTTCATGAAATTTGACACTTTGGTCGCTGGAAGCCACGATGATACAGCCTTCTTGCACCGTGCGCGAACACCAGAGACCCCCCTCTTTGGCGCGAGGTCGTACAACTTCCCGAACCGTGCTCCGTCGGCTGGGCTCACTCCGACTTGGTTCAGCTAGCCGGTCGTGCATCACCATCGATGTAGAGGAACGGCTTTCCTGATCCGGTCTGTGGTCTTCGCAGTCGCGAGGACGGCCGGGATAACTCACAGCGCAGAGTGCACGCCCACAATCAATCATTTCGCTTTCAGGGCTGTCCCAACTACTTCCATGCGGCCCCCAAGGTATCGCAGCGATCTGCTCACAGCTCGGCCAGGCGAACACTGCGATGCGGAACGGATGTTCGGGCTGTGCGAATCCGAATGTAGCAACAATTTCCCGTCGGGTACGACTCCAAATCAAGCTGGTCACCTGGGCATACACGTTGATCGTGGCCAGACAGGCGCCCGTCGGGGCATGGTAGAAATGAATGGCTCGGTCGTTTGACCCGCCCCCAGTAGCCAAAAGAGACGGTTGCCAAGGGGCAAACGCGATAGCCTTGACTGCGGCGCCATGCACCAGCCGATGTCTTTGGCGGTTAGACGGCACCAGGACGGTTCGATCACCGCCGGAGATCAACGACCCAGTATGATTGAGGAGAGAAGTATACAGTGGTTTTGCGCTGGAAAAGGCCCAGGGCGAGACCGGAAGGAGGTGACTAATAAGACTGCGCCGCCGAAAAAGCCGTTTGCTTGCACTGGCAGCAAAGCAAGTAAACGTGCCTGTACATTCCGTGCCTTCTGACTGACGCGACTGATGTGGTGTGCGACCCTGAGACGAAGGCTTGTGCTCCCGTGGAGGAAGAATATCATGGAGGTCGAAGAGCAAGCAGCAGTTGTCATTCCCTCCCGTTGCAAGATATGAGCCTTCCGGGGACCAAGTGATGCCGCAGATCTGCTGCGTGTGCGCCGAAATCTTAGCAATTAGAGTCATGGATCCATTGAAGTCGTATTCATCCCATTCTTCATTATCAGGCCATTCTACGGAGTAGTACCAGATATTCCCAAGATCATCACCTACAGCGAGTTCCTCAACATCGACTTCAAGGTGACGGAGTCTCTCGGATAATCTCCGGGACTTTGTTGGCCGAAATGCCAGACAAGTTATAGAATCCGGATGGCTTATCTCGAAACGGACATCAGAATCGAATGTACTCCAAAGAGATAACATACCCGACTGTCTCCCCACGGCTAAAATGCTTTTTCCACCGTTCTCAGAGGAGAACGCAAGTGATGTCACATAGTTTGAGGGGTGTTGATCACTGAGTGGCGGATGCTGCACACCCAGATGCTCAGACCATAGGTAAACTCGATGACCGAGGCCGACAGCAAGTATGCCGGACGTGGATGAGTATGCCAATGTCGAACAATAAAAATCGTCTCGGAGGAGCGGAGCATCCAGGATGCGAAAAGGGCGGTTCGGGACCACCCTTTCACCCTCCTTTGCAACAGTCCCTATGAGTTAGGTCCGAAAGTTAGTTGACGTATACTGCTAGCCAATATCACGATAAAGACATGAAAGGGGAGTGCTGCTAGACGGCGGCCTTACTGAATAAACGATGGATTATGTGGCAAAGACATGCTATCATAAATTTTCTGGGTTGGAGGCAAAGAACCTCTCACATGCATATCAAAGAAACGGATGATCACAGTTGCCACCGTAATGTTTTATAACTAAAAGCAGTCACTTACACTGGTACTTCTCCGCCCGCCTCCAGGCATTATCTTTCCAAACAAACGGAGAATATTTCTCAAAGTCTGGCGATGACGGGCTAGGTAAGGACACAAGCAAAGGCCAAGGCTTGCAGTTCTTCAGGAGTCTCCTTGCTGGGTCAATATCCAAGGCAAGAGCCACTCTGGACTTATGTTTTTCACGCTCCTCTGTCGACGCAACATGGGGCAGGAATCTGGCAGCAAACATCGGGGCAGTCGTTCCACTGGCAATCTGCCCACCCGAGCCATTAGAAGTCGCCATAGATCGTCGACCTAGTGCAGCTGATGTTCCTCCCACGTTCCAGACAGCCCCATTGCTGACTTGTCTAGAAAAGTCCCTGGAACCACGGGCGAAGTCATTACTCGGAACGGCCGGGTCAATGACGAGATGAGGGCCATAGTGAGTACTGCAAATACGGTCAGACGGTATTCTTGGTGTGCTGATAGGTCTTCCAGAGCGAGTTGGCAGGAAAGGGTCCTCTCTTGGTAAACGCTGTCGTAGAAGCCTCTCCTCCGGAGAAAGTTCTCGGGCGCTCTTCCCTACCCGGAAGGGTGTTGATGGAGTAATGCTATTCTCTCTTCTGGGAATGAACCTATCTGGCAGCGTGGGACCTTTCTGGTCAATTTCAAGCGTGTCAAGAGCGATAGGCTTCCTGATTATATTTTGGCCTTTCTTAACTGGCCCTGGAGACCTGAGGCTGCGGTGTTTCTTTGTCGAAGTGTGAGTAACATCACTGCGAGATTCAAAACTTCTAGCGACCCTGCGCGGAGATTGGGAGCGTTCCTCAACAGACTTGCTCTTTCCCTTTGAATTTTTTGTTAAAGGAGTGTTTAAGTTAAGTTTAGAATGAGTGATAGGCGCTAGTTGCGGCGGAGTGTGAGCATTAAGAGAAGTGGATGTCACAGCGTTGCGTTTCCGGGCCGTTGAATGAAAGGGTCGCGGCTCTGGAAAAACATCCTTCTCATCTGCTAAGATAGAGCTTCCCCTTGAGTGGATTGTAGAATGATTCATTGCCCTACTGGATCCCGGACCCAGTTACAACTCGGTATCTCGATGCTCAAATGCGTTATGTGTATGCCAGAATAAAAGTTGGGTGTGTTGTGGAAAGAATGAACGAATGAAGAGACCTTATCGACAGACTGCCATGCTGTACAAATATAGCTATAGCCGATGGCATGGCAGATAAATCCCTAAAAACAAGATATTAAAGAATTATGTGATGGACAACCTCGTGAAGACCGGTCGATGTATACAGGACACGTGACTGGAACTGGATCAGGAAGGTGGCTGCGGCATCGCCCATTCAGGCAACCGCATCGTCTCCAAGTATTCTTATCGATAAAGTGCGGCCTTCTCTCCTGACTCTGCCAGTTCCGCCCACTATACATTGTCCACTGTACACCTCATTACGCGCGCATATTTAGAGAGAAGCATCCTTCGGCATGGCAGCCGTAATGACACCTTTCCCTAAGGCACCACACACCGTTCGCTAACCGCCGGGCAGCATGGTATTCCCCGCTACTCGCTCCAAGGCGAGCAGACCGAAGAAGGTCGGCAGAAAGAGCTTCAGAAAATCGAGAAATACCGCCAACTTGATCAGTCGGTCCGCGAAAAGGTAGACCATATGCAAGAAGCAAGCTATCACCAGCGCTAGCTGATAGAGATTGAATAGATCGCGGAACAACAATATACGCCAGAGACTCTAGAGAAAATAGCCGAACTACTGACCAGCAACCCGGAGTACTATACCGTTTGGAACTATCGGCGCCAGGTGTTGCGCAATGAATTTTCACGAGCAGCTTCAGCCGACTCAAACGAAGCAACTGCTGAGCAGATTGCGACACTAATCAAGAATGACCTACTATTCACGGTCCCCCTCCTACGTAGCTTTCCCAAATGCTACTGGATATGGAACTACCGTACTTGGCTGTTGGATGAAGCCAAGCGTCTGCTTCCAGTACCTGCTGCGCAAAAATTCTGGCAGGAGGAATTGGGGCTGGTAGGGAAAATGCTTACCCTCGACAGCAGAAACTTCCACGGTTGGGGTTACAGACGCTTTGTCGTAGAGACGCTGCGAGAGCTCAAATCGGAGGAGCAGGAAGGGCAACAGATGACGCAGACAGAGTACGAATATGCAAAGAAGATGATTGGGGCTAACCTCTCAAACTTCTCGGCCTGGCATTATCGTACGAAACTCATCCAGCGCATGTTGAATGAGAAATCCGCTAGCGATGCGGAGCGAAAAGCGATGCTTGACAATGGTACGTCATCCCCTTTGTCATTTGCGTGGCCTGGAGACAGCGTACAAGTATGTGTGTTGACATATCATACTGGAAGAATTGGACTTGATCCATCGTGCCTTGTGTGACCCGTATGACCAGTCATTATGGTTCTATCATCAGAACCTAATGTGCGTCTTTGATCCATCTGTGGCGAACCAGACGCTGGCACCGCACTTGAGCGATGCCGAACGCCTAGACTATCTCCGACAGGAAATCGACGAGATCCAAGATATGTTGGATGGGGCTGAGGATTGCAAGTATATTTACCAAGCATTGATTGATTGTACGATGTTGGCGTGGAAGGTGGAGGGAAGAGCGCCCAGTGGAGAGGAGAAAAAGAAGGTGCAGGATTGGCTGTCGGAATTGAAGAAGCTGGACCCGCTGCGACTCCAACGGTGGCTGGATTTTGAACACTCCCTCAGCCGCTGAGCCGGTCATGGTCAGCTCATCCCTTGCCGATGCGATATGTATAGTAATCTATAGACGCCATCTGCGGGGGGAATAATTTTTTTGCTTTGTTGACAAAAGATTTTCCGATCTTCAACTTACTTTTCCTTGCTTTTTTTTTCTTTTCTCCCCCTCTTATGCAATGATGGGAGGGGGCGGACCTAGGACAGGAAGAAAGATGATGGGCAGCAGCTGCAGCACTTGCTCCATAGTGGGACCAACCACCGCGATGGATTTCTGTTGGTGAGTTTCAGAATAACAAGTGTCCACGGGGAAATGCCCAATGCTGGTCTCACTCGGGCGGGAGAATGGGCACTTAATGCAGCCCCGGAATCATTTTAGTGGTTCACCTGGCAGGAACCCGCGCATCGCCGGTTGATAAATCCCGACCACAGAATTGATGCGAGTGCAGACGTAAGTACAGTAGTGTAGTCTAAGTAACCTGTCGAACCGCCAGCCAGCCCGTCTTTATTCTCTTCCAACCGAGCATGGCTGTGAAGGTGTTTTCTATGCATAAGGAACAGCCTCTCTCCTACTCTCCTCTCTCTCTCTCTCTCTCTCCTTTCCCCCTTCCCCCCCAGCACTAGCTCCAACACTGCTGGCTTGATACGTCCTTATTGCCGGCTGGCTAAGGGACTAAAGTCGTAGTGTAGGCAGACTAGTGGGTGACTTAAAGAAGCGCCTGCCAGTGGATGTTTATTTAGTATATTTAGTAGTGACAGTAAGCAGTTTAGTTTAAGGGGGAAGGCAGCATCCGAATCACGGGGTTTAGAGAGTCTCGCCAAGCCCCATCTTTCTTTTGCCAGGGGATCTCCCGTTGACTACTACTTTCTACTTTACTTACTTTCATTCCTCAGCAACGGTGATTTGACATCGTTCTCTACCTGACCTTTTTGTTCTGCTGCCGACGGGAGAAGAACGAAGGAGGGAATCTCCATAAATCCACTCTCCATCCCTCCTGGCTCCATTGCGGACATCTTTCCCCCTGCCAGTCCCGTGGTACGAAGTCCGGAATTCCACCCGCTGGCTCTGGGTCCATTCCATCCCATTATCCCATCTTATCCAACCTCTCCCCTTTCCCTCTCAATTTACAATTCGGCTACAGCTTGTGGCTCCCGCCCGACACACCCGGTTTTCTTCGTCATCCTCGGTCCTTATCATGGAATAATCGCTGTTTGGACTTCATCAAACACATCGAATTTCGTCTCGGTCGCCTCTCTCTTGTTGATCGAAATTGGATTGAAGAAACCAGCTGGTTTCACATAGTGGACACCCTCCCAGGTGGTCGGGTCCCAATATGTCTTCTAGGAACAGCGCAGAGTACGAAGGTGTAAGCTTCTCTCACCAAAACCTGGCGATCACGAAGAAAGACTCATAATCTTATTCGCACCAGGATTCCTTTGACGATGCGCCCGAAGCCCCGAACACCCACGGCAGTCTGAACGTTTCCATTCCCCAAAGCTCTTCCACACGGTCTTTGACAGACAGCCCCCCGAGCGGATCGAATGTTGCCACGCCTCAATTGACGGAAGCTCCCCCGCTACCGGCGACTTCTCACGAAGAGCACGAATCGGCCGAGGAGACAGATGATGCTAGCGTGGAGAAACAATCAGAAGCGGAGGATACCCCTCGCAAACAGAAACTCCAGAAATCTCCACTCTTGACTGCGCACAGGCTATCAACAACGTCTCTCGACGACGTGAACCTTGCCAGTAGCAACAAGGACGATGAATCGACTGAAAACCAGCCGTTGAGCCAGGAGCTCAACTCCGGTACCCCTCCTCCTTTATCCTCTAGAGATTCCACGTCGTCCCACAGTTCGCGCCTCCAAGGATCATCCAACGCTTCTACCGCAAAGAACCAAGCCCCTGTTGCACCGCCCCCTCCGCCAACTCGATCGTTTACCAGCCCGTTTGCATGGCTGTCTCGAAGCTCGTCGGGCGGAAAGGACGCCAAGTCGCCTCCGGCACAACCACGTCGGAATACGGCCGCATCCATATCAACTATTGCCAGCAATCCGGAAATGGGTCGTCACCACGATGGGGAGGATGTTGATGGTCTAGGCCATAGAAAGCCGAGGCGCAGCAGCCTCAAGGACCAGTTCAAACAGCTCAGGTTGCGAGAGGAAGGACTCGTGTCGGAGAATGACGAGGCTAGCGTTGCGTCGGGACGTGCAAGTTTCACGGCCGGAAGTCCTCCGCCCAGCATACCGGAAGAAGGGGAGAATGGCATTGCGGCCGCCCCCCGGGCGACGTCGCCGCCTAATGGAGCGTCAACCGTCAACCCCAAACTTGCCCCGGGTACTGTTGCGGGTATTTCAACCTCTGCAACTGACGCGTCTGCGCCGGTAGACTGGGAGCTCTGGCAGCAACTAGTCAACAATGGTGCGCAAGCGTTGAAAGGGGCAAACTCGGATGAACTGAATGCCGCTATCAAACGAGGCATTCCCCAAACTATTCGAGGAGTGATCTGGCAGGTTCTGGCCGACAGCAGAAACCCCGAGCTTGAGGAAGTATACCGGGAGCTCATTGCCCGTGGCACGGACAAGGAGAAGCAGGTCAGCCCCAATGGTACCATTAACGGAGAGAAGGACTCAACAGCCTCTTCATCTCGCTCATCTGTTCGATCGGAGCGTTCTGCGTCGGTGGCCCACTCGGTTAACGGTTCGAGTCCTTCCCAGGAGTTGGATCCCGAGAAGCTGTCCAAAGAGCAGGCCGCGAACGAAACGGCTCGGAAGAAGAAGGCCAAAGAGGAATCGGCCGCGCTTTTGAAGCTAGAAAAGACGATTCGTCGTGACCTCGGTGCTCGCACAAGCTATTCACGCTACTTCGTGTCACAAGGAAACCAAGAGGGGTTGTTTGGGCTCTGTAAGGCATACGCTTTGTATGATGAGGCCGTGGGATATGCTCAGGGGATGAACTTTATTGTGATGCCATTGCTATTCAATGTGAGCAGCTCTACCTATCTACTACAGCATCAAGAACATGATTGCTGATGCTAAACTTATCTAGATGGACGAGGCTGAAGCATTTACGCTCCTCGTGAAGCTTATGAATCAGTACGGACTGCGGGAGCTGTTCATCCACGACATGCCAGGTCTCCATCGCAGCTTATATCTGTTCGAACGCCTGCTGGAGGACGTGGAGCCGGCTCTCTATTGTCACCTCCGGCGGCGGGGCGTACCCCCTCAGTTGTATGCCACTCAGTGGTTCTTGACGCTTTTCGCCTACCGATTCCCTCTTCAGCTGGTTCTTCGCGTCTATGATCTCATCTTCGAAGAAGGCCTTGAGAATACCATCTTGAAGTTTGCCCTGGCGATCATGCGCAGAAATGCAGACACGCTGTTGGGCATGAGGGACATGGCACCGTTAACAACCTTTTTGAAGGAGCGCCTCTTTGACGTTTACATTGATAAGCAGCCCTCGGCGTCATCTCTCTTGGAGTCTGGTTTCTTCGGAAGCTCTGGGGCCGCGGACAAGGAAGTCTACCGCGCCGACATCATGGTCCAGGACGCTTGCGCCATCCCTCTGGAGCCTGAGACGATCCGCGCGTACACGGCGGAATGGGAGGAGATGGTACGGACCGAGAAGGAGCGTGAGCAGGAGCTAGACAACCTTCGGCACACCGTTGCAACTCAGAGTGCTCGTATCCGACTACTAGAGGAGCAGGCCGAAGCATCAGACAAGGAGCACGTACAGCTTGCATCCGAGCTGGTGCACCTGAAGGTGGAAAACGAAGAACTAACGGACATGAACGATGCCATGAAGATGCAGGTGACCGAGTTGAAGAACGTGGTGGATAAACAACCGGCCGAAGTCGAGGAGAAGCTGCGGACTGAGATGGACCGCATCATGAAGCGCAACATGGAAGTCCAGAACGAGAATCGGTCAATGGTTGAACAGATGGTCGAGATGGAGAAGGAGCTGGTCGAGGCTAAGATGAAATGGGCTGAGGTAAGTTCCCATCAATTTGCGATCAAGTGAACGACATCTGACCCAACTGCACCAGATTCATGATGAACACGAGAACCTGAAACAGAAATGGAGCGATCTTCGCAAGGCTCTCAACTGAGCAGCGGGATGTAGATATATTCTAACCTGAGTTTAGCGGGTGTTGCCTGGCTTCGCTGCTTTGCTTTTCTTCGTCCAGTTTCCAACCATGATTAACTACATCTCTGTTACTATCTGTACATTTAAGCGGTTGGCACGCGTGGGAGAAAGCCTTGTTGGGTAATTATGTTTATGTTCAAGGCAACCACGGGCGAAGAAACTATCTTTGTTAATTGTATCAATGTTGTTCTCTCTTATGTTATCAGCAGCAGCAGCAGCAACAACATGGCTAGCACTCACTTCATGACACATACCGAACAGTCCCTTTTTCCTCTCACCATTGTGACATGATGGCATTATTGTTTTATGTGCCGAACAGAACTAAATGTGAAGTAGTAGCATGAACCAATAGATGTATACCATGAAACAAACCATTGACCATTATCATCTATCCATAAACACATAACATTATAATGGAAATATGAATATCTACAACACACTCTCAAAAAACGTCGTCAACTTATCTGTCCTAACAGGTCCCACAACCGCCTTCAACGCCTTATGCGCCTCACACTGCTCATCATAGTAGACCATATCCTCCAGGGACGCGAACGTCGTCTTCACAGACAGATTCCAGCCCTGGTTGCGCTCATCGGGGATGGAGGCTCCCGCGGCCGAGCTGAGGATGTAGGGTTTTCCGTCCTGTAGATAGTATACCATAAGTCAGTGTTTGCATATATATACATGCATAGAATAGATACTACTATCAAAGGCAAAAGGTGAAAGAAGTGAAATATAAAAAGGGGAAAGGAAAGAAGGGGATATACCTTAACAGCGGTCTTAGCCAAAACCTTATACTGCTCTAAGACGCGATCGCGGTCCGCGTCATTAGGGATCTTGAAGAGCGTGATGCGTTCGATAGGGGCCATTTTGCGGGTGAAGGTGGTGAAGGTTCTTCGGGGGAACACTGATTTTTTTGTTTGTTAATTTCAGTGTCTATGATAATGTGTGTATGAGATAATGCTAGGAGGGAGGTTGGTATGGGGGTGGAGGGGAGAGGGAGATAGAGGGGTATTTATACTGGTAAGTATGGATATATCCGATGATGGAGGGGGGGTACTGCGGGGTAAAAGACAACTAGTATTATGTTCTGCTCTTGCTCTCGGTAGGAGAAAGGTTGGTCGTAGAGAATAGGGACAATGGATTGTTTGCTGGGAATGAGTGTATGGATCTTCGTGTCGGCTTCCGACGGATGTTCGGATGGGGGAGCTTGGTTTCCCTCGGATCTAAGGTAGTTACGGATGTTGGTGGGGGGAGTGGGTTTGTGCTATTGGTGTCTACTTGAGACTTTTGGTGATATGTGAAGTTATTGATTGAATAGTTCTGTACATGAGGAATTGGTTTGCATGAATGTCAACTGCAATGTAACTGACAGGAGGCGTGCATGCAGGATGGGATGTTCTGCATTCGAGGGACGAAATGAATGGGTTGGCGGAATTGGGGGTGAGGAAATGATTCCGCCCGGGTATGTCTTTTCTCGGGTCTGTGGGATGGCGGAATATTACCAGGCTGGCCACTACTTCGACTACTCTCTACTTGTGGATGATCAATTTCGTTGAAATTATTGCCTGTTTACAGATGCTCAATGATATAATTGCTACTCAAGTTTTGCACATATACCTGCTGTGTTGAACTATGTAGTAATTAATAGCTTGTGAGAATCCACTACCTGCTTAGTATACTTCTTGTCCTCCAAGTTGCCCTTGTATGGAGCCTCTGCTTTGGGCTCTATCATTATACAGCTCGCGCCCGTCACTAGGAGCCTTATCACAGGTCGCCGTGATGATAGTCTGTAGGGCGAGGGAAGACCATGCTAGGCGCACGCCGTCGAATGACCACTTCGATAACATCATGGCATATCTTGGACAGTGGGATAGACAGCGCAGAAGTCGACTAACTCATCAACTTCGTGAGCTTCGCCCTCATCATGAAAGACTCTGCTTAATGGACTCATAAAAATCGCATAAAGCAATGCGCCTTTAGACTCCGGTAGGCGAACGGTTCACCCTCGAGGTGTTATAGATGGCCTTCTGCCAGGCATTCCCAGCATATCGAGCAGTTTAGCCTGACACGACACGAACGGGCCTGTGAGAGTTCATGCCAGCCCTTCTCTCCTCTGGGGAGTCGCGACTCCGGTTGTGAAGTCAGACTCCATCGATGGCAACAGAGATGGAGGATGGCCTATAGCTACTGATAGCAACCTAGTATTTTCACATCATTCCCATCGACTGCAATGCGAGACCGACTTTTGATTTCCATCACCAAAGGAAGCGGGCATGGATTTCAGCGCTAAGCGGCCGACGGTTCATGGATGATATCCTCGATAGGACTAGAACAGCACGCCTGAGTTCCGACGGACCCAATCTGTCCACACACGCTGCGTTCAATGTGTCCATATCCAGCCCGCGCAACGCGAGATCTCCAAGCCGCCGATTCGTCCGGCTTTAATCCGTAGAATCTCACTTCAGATATCATTGACAGGCTCTGGCCTACTCTTAAAGTAGATCTTGTACTTCACGATCTCGACAATCTCCAACTCTTCTTTGTCGTCGGCGGCCGCACCCAATTCCTTCTGTCTCCGCTGCACAATTGCAAGTGGCTGTGGTAGCTTTTTGACCTCTCCGGTCATTCGCTGATACCTTCCAACATATAGATAGACCCTCTTCATCCATTTTGTATCGTCTGGTGCCGTAAACTGCGGGGAGTAATCGGGAAACATGAGTTTGCCGATGGGGGTTTCAAACACGGGGGCACCATTGGGATTGCCGGAACCGTCGGGTGATGAACCTGATGACTCATTGTTTTCGCTGTTTTCTTGCGAGGGGATATTGATAGTGCCTTGGAGCTCGAGGAGGGCGAGACCGGAGGGGGTTTGCAGAAGCTGGGGGAGGGGATTGTTGACGCGTGCGGAGGGATTGGACGCGCGAGGGTGGAGGGGTATTGATGGCATTTTGGAATCACTGTCGTTCGGAAAAGTATTTTGAAAGGAAGAGTAACCGAGCTCGTTGTTTTGGTGTGAGGGGAGTGTATAAAGTAGGAAATAGAGGGCGTGGCAATTGGGCTTGGAATTGGAGGTTGCGAAAAGAGAGATTAAGATTAGCGCGTCACGCCAATCCCGTATCTTATCGGCATTTCCTCTTTGGGAGGTAGTGCCATGAAGGCGGCTTTGGAAGTTGCACATGGTTTAAGAGCTTGGTTTTAAAGACGCCAAGGTAATTTGCAAGCTACACTTTACAGATATTATGACTTCCGAAGCTGGGACACAGTGATGATAGACTGTCAATTTGATAGCTGGATTGATTATTATCCTGCACTGGAGTCTTCGACTTCATCGAGAAGACAAGAGCAGCAGCGTAACGATGTGGACACTGTATATCATGAATAGGGTAGTCGTCCTGTGCAAATCTTGTATATAGAGAAGCGAACACGTGCTGTTGACTTGTTCTACCGCCCCCCAAATCCGGTATGATCCTGTCTAAATCATCACCCATATGCACGTACATGCGGTTGGTCAGGCTCTGAGAGAACGGTCAATGGTTGCCAACATTCAAGGGAGTCTAGTCCAAGGAAGCAGAGGCCTTGCCGAGCTGGAGCACATTGGTCTCACACAATGTATGTACCCGTGCTGCAGTGTTGCTTTGCGGCATCTGGCCAATGCAACTCGAGCAGGCAGGCAAGTTATTCGTGCCTGACAATTAGGCAAGTGGAGGTGAGAAGATTATCCTCGATAATAGTAATGCGTCTGCCATATACGGCTCAAGTTTTACGATAGCACGCATCTTCCAGATGACCCAAGCCTCGGATGGCTTCATTCACCATGTCTTCGCCGCTTGTGCCGGCGGGGCCTTGCATCTTGCCGTAGCGCAAGTCGCTCATTTCTCCGACCGTGTTGTTGAGCGTAGTCAAGATCGCTGTTGCTTCCTCATCGGTCTCAGAAACTTGACGGTCAATGTCCGAGATGGCCTTCTCCATGGCATCCAGGAGACTGGATGGTGAATGATAGTCGGAAGACGATGTTTGTCCGAACAATTGGACATCCATATCCATCTCACGCTGATCGCTAGAGCTGAGTCCGTCAACCCCTGTTTTAGCGACGGACTTCCGGAGCTCTGCTTTTTGGGTCTCCCCCTGGCGAACCTCCTTGTCAATGTTACCGTTGACGAGGTCCATGTCATTTTCCCGTAGCTCTTGCAGTTCGCGGTAGAGCGCCCTGATGTGCGGATGAGACCGCAAACGCTTTGGGAAGAGCTCAGTAAACTGCTGTAACGACATGATCGTCGGCAAAGGAGCCGGTGAGAGCAGAAAATTGCCCAGAATTGAGGATTCCGTAGGCGCCATGGTGATTGAATAGCAGAATGGCGCAGCCAACACTCGATAAAATATGGCTAACACTCAAAGTAGCTAATTTGCCCTCTGGAGGCTTCCTTTGGTTCACCTTCTGAGGTAATATTGTCTTGTCGCTGCTGTGTTACCCTCAATCGGAGTGTATCGCGTCTTGCGCGGATCCAGTTACCAGAACACCAAGGTGGCTAGGGTGGCACAATGATAGAGTAACAGCGCTCAGCTTGCTGAAGTAAACGACCGTAGCCGGTTTTTAAGCAAAATTAGTTGATGATACGTTGTTGGTGTTCATGGAATAAAGAAAGAAGAAGATGAGATGGCGGCGGGCAAAGCAATTAAAACTAACCGGGAAAGTTCGTGACTTGCCCTTTTGGACGCGTTCCTCATTCAGTCGTTCCGCTTCCTCTTCTTGTCCCAACCGCGACATGCTTTGAACCCTCACCACTTCTGCAACCCCATTATCCTTTCTAATTGGCATTGACTCGGAGAGATTCGTTTTGTTCCGGCCATCTTCCCGAAATAACCAGGGAATAACCAGCTATTCACTGTGAGACCACCGGCTCCTGTCTTATATTGGAGGTTCTGACACTGCTTGGAGCCAATCAACTATCTTCCAAACCAGCCAGAATCATTATAAGCTGGCTGTCTGCAAGGCCTAGTGAAGACTCACATCTGCCACATCACTTCCCTGCTCGTGTGCGCACAGTTGCCATTTTATTCGCTTGCTTCAGTCACTGTTCATCTCAGTGCACGTGCTTCGCAGAGGCAAATTTGACTTGACGAGACTTTGAATACTTGTCTCACCATTCTACTCCGTGTTTCTACTTGTTTCTTCTCGCGATCAAGCTGGTGAAACCTGTGGCTGGTATTTTGATTTGCTATAACAGCATCCTACGCCTCAGTGACAGCAGACACCCCTTGATCTGTCTACGCGCCACTTCATCTCAAAATGGCCCCAACAAGCCAAATGACCTACCAGAAGGACGAGAGGGTTCTCTGTTTTCATCATGAAATTCTGTACGAGGCCAAGATCCTTGACCTGAGGCATACAGACCCAGAGGACCGTAAGAGTCCTTATGAGTATCTAGTCCACTACAAGGGCTGGAAGAATACGTACGTCTAACCTAGTGTTATTCCCTTCATCTCTCCGAATTCTCTTACCTCCTGTCTTGGGTTGGAATTGTGATTCTACTCTACATGGCAGAAGGACAGGGTTCGCGCAATATCCCTTCTGCCGGTGAAGCCACCATCACGCCGGAACGGAGAGGTGTCCTTGTCAGAGCCACAATTGCTGACATTTGTTATGTCTTTCCAGCTGGGATGACTGGGTTCCCCAAGACCGCCTTCGTAAATTCACGGAGGAAAACAGAGAATTAGCCACCACTCTTCGTCGTGAGGCAGAGGCTGCATTCCGCCAGAAGAGCACCAAAGCCTCTGTCAAGAAGAGGGGAGGCTCCGACCGCAGTTCCGCCCGAGGCAGCGAGGAAAGGCAAACCTCAGTGCCTGGCCGCGGAACCAAGAGAGCTCGTGACAACGATATCGAAAAGGTAAGTCTGCTGCATTATTGCCTTCAATATTCCCCGTAGCCTATCACACCGCCAGTGACGGTGCGCACAGGGGCAGCACTGTTGATCACACATACTAATCGTGTCATCACAGGAGGAGAGCTTTTACGTGCGGCCTTCAGTAAGGATCGTAATGCCAGACAATTTGAAGTCTCTCCTAGTGGACGATTGGGAAAATGTCACCAAGAACCAGCAAGTCGTGGCCTTGCCTGCCAAGTCCCCGGTCAATCAGATCCTGGACGACTACGTCAATGAGGAGAAGCCCAAGCGCACAAGCTCGGCTGATACGGACGTCCTTGAAGAAGTCGTCATGGGTGTGCGTGAATACTTCGACAAAGCGCTTGACAAGGTCCTCCTTTACCGGTTTGAACGCGAGCAGTACCGGGCTCTCCGCAAAAAGTGGGAGGCAGGCTCGGGCGACTACGCCGACAAGGGACCACTCGACATCTACGGTGCAGAGCACCTGACTCGTCTTTTTGGTAGGTTTTCTGTCTTAATCTGCCATATACATGGCTAACAGATACTCCATAGCAACCATGCCCGAGCTCATCGCACAAACAAATATGGACCTCCAGTCAACGAATAGACTCCGTGAAGAACTGTCCAAGTTCACCATCTGGCTGAGCAAGAACTCCAGCCGATACTTTGCCACGAGATACATGACTGCGAGCAATGAATACATCGAGAAGTCGCGTGGCGTTCCGAATCCAACTCCTGGGACTGCGACATCGCGTTTAGTCTAGACGTGTGGCCATTGATTCATTTCTGCGTTTGCTTTTTCTCCACCTTTTTTCTTCGAGCATATCTTATCTCCTCCCTTCTTTAATTCGATCGCGTTCGACCGACTTGGGCTGCGACAAATGGTTAGTTAGCAAAGACTGAAGTTGCTTTTATGTATGATACGGCGATGATCATACTTTTTTCCCTGTACCATTAGTAGGATAGAATTGGAATCCACTCAGCTAGCGGAACTGAAATTTCAATCACTTATTTCAATATGTGTGACTCAGGGAATATTCAACATAATACTGGCCAGCGAAGGTATAAAACAAAAGTAACAAGAACTGGATTTCCACCATCACCTAGTATCTAATCCGCTACCCCAAGCAACACACACAAACCACAGCCACTAGACACTCATGAAGAAACACAAGAGCAGCATCGTCCTAACAACCTAAACAACCAACCCCCTCGCATCATCGACCGCACACCTCGCCGCCCTCTTCAACTCCATCTTCCAATCCGCCTCACGATACCTCGTCCATGCGCCTAGCCCCTCCGGCGGCTGAATGCTCAACGTCTCATACCCCTGCTTGATGATTCGATGGACTTCCCGAGGACTCAGATTCTTTTTCAGGTTCGCCGGTACCGGCACCGCTTCTCCACTCTTACCCGCTGCTTCGGTATTCTGATCCGGATCCACGAACAACAGCGTGTAGAAGTGCGTGGAGACGGAAATCAGCGTGTCGATGGCGGCTACGTGGACTTCTTTGTTGGTATCAGCGCCTGCGGATGCGGATGCTGGTGCCTTGAAGTTGTAGACGTCGCGGAAGCGCGTGATGATGGGGCCGGTTTCGACGAGCTTGTAGAAGAGGTCGTCGTAGGAGAGGGGGTCTGGGAGGAAGGTGTCGCCGGAGGAGACGCAGAAGGCGATGAGGTTGATGAGAGTGGTGGTTAGGGTTGTGGTGTGTGGGTTGCTGGTTAAGTCCGGGGCGTAGGTAGTTAGGAAGCGCGTGAGGGAGAGGAGGGTGCGCCAGAGTTCAGACCAGTGGTAGGTGAGTCGGATTTTGTTCATGGAGAGGTAGGTTAGGAGGCGGAGGAAGATTGATACGCAGTGGCTTTTACTAGTTAGTTTTGTGTTCTATGTTGGGGAGAGGCGGAAGAAGGGAGAGGGGTACCTGTAGAGGTTGACGTCGAGTCGGCGGCGGAGATTGTGGGTTAGGGTGTCGATGAGAATGTCGAAGATGACGGTTACTAGGACTCGATCGCCGTTGACGAGAGGGAGATATGGCTGTCTTTGGCGGCAGAGGCGCACTCTGCGCTTGCTTTCTTCACTGCAGAGTTGCTTGCATAGCGTGCTGTCTTCGGAGAGGATGCGCAGGGTGAGGAGGTTCAGCTCGGCGTAGTGGGCGACTCTTGGGGACCGATAGGCGTGCTGTAGAAGGTAGGAAGTGAGGGAGAGGAAAGAGGCGAATGGTGTCTCCTCGTTGTCCTTCTCGGGAGCCGCGCTGATGAGGTGGTAGCCGAAGAGCTTGTTGGCATTGATGAAGTCGTAGGTGGCAAGGAGGATCGCTGCTTGTTGGGCCGGTCTAGTGTTGTTAGCGGGGGATAGCCCCTAGGAATTAGGATAGACTTACAGTGCTGCGAACAGATCTTTGGCTTCCTCTGCGGTTGGCGTGCCGGCTTTCTCTTTCTTGCCCGGAGCAAGTACACCCAATCCGAAATAGATCAGGGTACCGACGAGAGACCAGCCCTCCGGAGAGTCATCTTGCACTGCTACATAGCCGTTTCGCAGAGCACCACAGGAGAGACTAACCCCCTTGGCAATCTTCTGGATACTGGCTTCGTTGACAAAGTCATCGAGTCGCAGCTGGTAGGGATTTTGGAATTCGAACTTGTTGTAGTTTGCTAGCAAACCTAAAAGCACGAATGGCTCGAACATTTGCATTGGGGCCTCCGTTTCTTGGACGAACTTGATTGAAGATTAGCTTGGTTGTGGAATGTTTGGGAAGTAACAAACCTTCATGAGAGAAGGAAACAGGTCCCGGTGTGTGAAGTAAGAGACCAAACTTGTCTTGTATGCCCCGCTAGTCATGGCGATGGCGGCTTTTATGGCATTGAGACGGATATCATCTGGTATTCGTTAATGCACGGTCGAAGTGATGTCGCTCATGAAAAGGGACTTACAGCTGCTGCCGTTCCGAATGATGCCATCCAGGACAGTGACAAAGTTGGAGATCACATGGTCCACGTGGTCGAGACCAGCAAGAACAGTAATAACATCTGAGCTGGGGTTGGTGTACTTCTTCTTCAAGACACATGCTAAGAAGATCGTCAAGGTCTAGATCATAGTCAGAAAGTGATGACAGTCGTCGGGCAATGCACATACCTCTAGAGCATAGGAATTCACCGGACTGGAGGTGGAGGCAGCTTCGCGAATTGCGCGAGCAAAGAGTTGCTGTGTTTGGATCTGCTAGAGTGTTATGAGGGACTGTCTGCTGATAAACCAAGCATGGTGGTGACGCACCTGCAAGTTGAGGGTCTCGTCAGGACTGAGCTGGTTCAAGACCGCAGTAAGCCGAGTACGATCGGGGGGCAACAAGAAAAACTCGCGCCAAAATCCCTCTGATGGCTCTGCATAGTCGGTGGTCTAAGAAATTGGGTCAGCTGGAGTGGTATATACGCCGCGGGGATTACGATACATACTTGGAATAGATTCTCGTATAGTTGCACGATCTTAGGCTTGAAGGTTTCGGGTCTACTTTGTTGGGTTAAGGGGGATTCCATTGCGTTAGGTGAGAGGAGTGGCGGTCAGCGTTAAACATGGGACCGCTGCCAGCATCACAGATGGGAAGTTTAAAGAGCCAATATGAGATTCAATAGCAAGCGGGCCGATGGAAGAGGGACTTGGAAGTGGACATGAAATGGTAGTCGCCAGCTTATTCGACCACCACTTCATTTCTCTTTTTCTGCCTATTCGGGCCAGCCCACACCAGCCACGCAACACCCCTGCTCCCCCACCAGCCACGGTTTATGTATGAAGGCGCCACGGTTTTGCTTTGTATTATGTGAAAGTGGGAGAGGTCTAAGCCTCCTACTTTCTTCCAGCATAAATTATGATGATAGTAATTTCATTTATTCTGTACCTTGACTTTCTTGTCGTTGCAGTGACAACACGTGCCTCTGCTCATGCCGACCTTAAGATGACATAATCAGGGGCATGTGAAACGAGACACTTAATAACATTAAATTTGATGCATGACCTGACATCAATAGAGAGTCAAGGGTAGATAGAATGCTCCCATATAGAAAGGAGATCATGTGCGTAACAACTCTGCTATAGTCACGTATAGACAAGGATCAGCGACTCTTTCCCGTTGCTCCCCGGGTCCTTCATTATTGTATTGTCCCCCTGAAACATCAAACAAAGCAGAATCCCATTAGTCATGGTTTACGCCTGAGGTACTCATTGTGGTGTGGTGACTGGTTACTCAGGCAGCCGTGTTAGTAATAACGGTGAAGAGCATCGGGCCAATCACAGTAAAGAAGTAGCAATCGCAGGGCCAGCTCAGCAATGAACAAAGTCAAAGAAATCAAAGGAAACGGGACTGCTGCATGATCACTGGGTCACAGAGGGGCCATTTAGATTGCAACGGACAGTTCCCCAACAATCCCGGCTTCGATCAGGCGTTCATTTGAGACCACAGCAGTGGCGCCACCGTCGCTGTGTAGAAACACCTCCACGCTGATTGGCCCGTCGGGTCCTGGCCCTGGCACCTTTTAACCGACCGCCGGCAGTCTTTCCGCCTCCCAAACAGACTCAACTTCCGACTCACCATCATTCTTCCACTTTTCCATCATATTCCTTTTCGTTCAGCGACGACACAACGATTAGATTCATGACATTTCAGCTCCTCGTTACTCCTACTGCAGTATAGAGCATCCTCTTCATCAAACACATCACATTCTCCCAATATGTCGCTTTGCAAAGCCACCATGCCCTCGCCGGTGACATCATCCGCCACGATCCTCACCTGGCTCAGACAGTCGTCCTCCAGACGCTCGACGCAGACCTGCCGTCTATTCTCCTCATATGGCAATTCTCACCGGTCCTCGAAGCGCGAATTGCAGACTGCCACTGCCTACCGTCCTCACTCGCTGCCCACCTCCTTCCCGCCGCCCCGGAACACGGGCATCTCTGACACTTCCATCGCTGCCGACTTCCCTTCCCTTCGTGAGATGTCCCAGCCTCAGCTGCCCGGCCAGCAGGGCCTGTCCGACCTCAGCCTCCGGGAAAGCGAGGCCCAGAAGTCCAAGCCTGCGCCCGCTCCTGCTGCTGCCGAAAAGACCGCCGCCAAACCCACAGAGAAGCCCCGGCGCAAGCTGCGTGCCAGGAAGGCCGCGATGAAGCTGACCCCCGTGGCTATTGAGCAGCTTCGCAAACTCCTCTCACAGCCGGAACCCAAGCTGATTCGAGTCGGTGTGAAGAACCGTGGCTGCTCCGGTCTCGCCTACCACCTGGAGTACGTGGAGAAGCCGGGTGCTTTCGACGAAGTAGTGGAGCAAGACGGTGTCAAGGTTCTCATCGACAGCAAGGCATTGTTCAGTATCATCGGTAGCGAAATGGACTGGCAGGAGGACAAGCTGAGCAGGAGATTCGTTTTCCGCAACCCGAATATTAGTAAGCTTCCCTTTGTCCGCGGGAAACCCCAGAAACGGCTGCTAACGTATCACTTGTGCAGAGGAAGAGTGTGGATGCGGTGAATCCTTCATGGTCTGATTTATGAAATTGAAATTGGCACTTTTCATATGTTTCGAGTTCATAATTATGCGGATTCATGGGTTTTCTCGCGTTTGTGCATTGGCCGGCGTTTTACTGGTGGCGGGTTTGGCGGGTTCGGATAATCTCTTCTTTAATTGCTTCATGCTGGACATACATTGATTCCCGGGCAATGAGCCCACTACTGTGCAATATATCTACTTTGTCATATGATCGACGGCACTGCATGATACCGCAGGCAACATTGGTTGAAGATTCAGCGACACAAGCCGTGATCAATCATTACTTTATTACTACTTTATGTCGGACGATCGTGAATACAACAACAAACTGAAATGACTACATAATCTCCAAAGTACCATAGAAACATCAAGTAAAAACTATAACATGAATTAGAACTAAAGTCACCGAACTCACATGCAGCATTGGCCTTTCGGTTCCTTCGGACCTTTGGATAAGATCCGGAGTACTTGAATGAAATGTCGGATGGCCTGTCCGATCCCTGCAATACCCAGGCTTCGCCTGCACCTCATCCGATAGTATATGAAGTGCTCATAACAGAATACATTAAGTCTACTATCTCGACCAGCGGCAACTATCACCTCTACCTACTACATCTCCTACTTCCACTACAACCATATTACTCCTAACACCCCCCTAACCTATTGATAACACTGGCCATCTCAATTTCCAGTAATCATACCTCCACACACAACAACCTCAAACCACAATATATAAATTAATTGATCAACCCTTCTAAGAAGAAAATTCACCGCACCACCCTCTCCCAAACCCCCTCAACATCCTCATCCGGACTAATATTATCCACGATCCCCAACGCCGTCGTCGGCTTCTTATACCCCAACAACTCCAACATCTTCTGACTCATCTTAGTGACCACACTCCGCGGAATAGCCAGGAACTGATTCTCCTCCGTCCGCAAATGTCCCCTACAAAAGAACAACCCATACATATTCCTCACCGTCCCGGGGAGCGAGTTATGTCCTCCTCCATGGTACGCCGAGGCAAGGAATATCAGCGCTGAGCCGGCTTTCATCTCTACCCATACCCAACTCCACCGACATCAGAACAATACTAATTAAGGGGTAAGTAGGGCAGGTAACGTACCAGCAAAACACACCTCCCCATCACCAACCTCCGCCCACCTCTCATCCCCCCACCGATGACTCCCCTTCACAAACATCGTGGCCCCCATCTCCCGACTAACATCACAGCCCGCAATCAGACACCCAAACTGACTCACCTGGTCCCAACCCCACTCCCACTCGCGATACTCATGTCGCACATGATGCACATTATCGTCCCGGTGGAGGAGCTGACGAGGCGCCCCGTACCCGATGTTCATTGCCACGCTGAGGCTGAGTAACGGGTCGAGACGGTTCGGCTCCACGCTGTCTTCGCGGTTGATGCACCATTCGTCGACGAGGATGCGCGTGCGTAGGGCTTCCAGAGTGGGGTGCTCCGCGGTGATTCGGGCTATGGTGGGGGATTTGCCTACCAGGCCCGGGATGAGGGTCGTTTGGGAGGGGATGGTGGTGAAGGCGCCGTTGGTTGTGGAGGTGGAGGTGGAGGTGGAGGTGGAGGTGGGTTTCTTGGTGCTGGTGCTGGTCCATGGGGTGAGTTCGGTGTCGATGGCAGTGAGGTCTTCTTTTGGGATGAAGTCGGAGATGATCACGCCGCCGTCGCGGGAGAGGATGGCTAGGATGTATTCGATTGGGGTGGTGGAGGGGATCGTGCGCAGGGAGGATTTGGGGGTGTAGGTTGCTGGGATCGGGGGTGGGGTGGGAAGGGGGAGGCGGGTCATTTTGGTTGTTATCGTTGCTGGTTCTTGAAATGTAGATGGTTTAGTTTGTCTGGTATGATGATGATGCTGGTAGTCTCTGTATCTAGAACCATGTCTCGAGGGGGTGATATAGTTCCCCTCTCGGGTCGGCTCGGCTGCGTTGCGGAGATCGGGTGGCATATCCGATGATAGGGCTGACATGTGTGATTGATAGATGCTGTGGCTGGATCTACTGCACTGGTCTGGAGATATTATATGATGGACTGATGGATTAGTACAGTGATGGTGTTGTCTGTTTCTGTGCTGCCGCTTCGGGTGTAGCTCGAAAATATGACTATTATCAGTCAAGAGTTATTGTATTGAGTGTAGTATAGTTGCTATCTAGAGTGTATATTCAGTTGCAGTGCAGATGTTCTGCTACTGCTCTCGATAAAATTAACAACACCCTATATGCAAGTGTAAGCTCCACCACCTCGAAGCTCCATATACACGACTCTATATACGTTGGTTAATACCATACATCACAAATCGTCCCCCTCCTGAGCTAGCCAGAAAGACGGGCTCGCATTGTAATCAATCTGATCCACAATGGCTGCGATATCATAAGATGTTAATCCAAGCTCAGGCAACTCATCCTCTGAGACATTCAATTCCCCAGTGATGAACGGTAACTGGGTGTTGTCATTTGGCCTATGATCCTGCTCATGCGCATCATCACTCGTCTCTGGAACTAAAGTGGCACTGATGTGATTTGCCGCATTCGCATACCGCTCCTTTAGTCCCTCGAACAAGGTCTCGAGACGAGTCAGATCAGCTTTGCGAATTTCGGCTACGCGGTTCCCCTTGCCAATAATTTCATCAAGAATTAGATGTGCTTGTTGGTTGGAGCTTCGCTGTCCGGCTAATTCAGGCACAAGGGCGCTGGCCATTGTGAGGTGGATAGCGGCGCCGTACGTAAATTCCAGGTCGAAGGGGAGGAATGATTCTGTGGTGCGGTTAGTAGCTGATGATTGTTCTTTCTGCATTTTGCCCACCGAGAAGGCCCTCGTCCACTAGAGCTTTAAGTAACTGTAGACTTTTGGTCGCTGAGTTGATCCCCGTTGACATCAGTGTTTCCATGAGAGGGACAATCCGGCGGCAGCATTCTAAAGGGAGGCCAAGTTTATCCAGACGCTCCCGTAGAACGGCTAGAAGGAGGGGCCGTGTGGCAACGATGACACACTAGTAGTATGAGTTAGTTGGATTTTGGTTTGCTCGAAGGCAGACATACCTCGTGATATAGCAGGAGGATATGGCGCATCCCTTTCGACATGGAGTTAACCGGGCCTGCGAATTTGGTATTGATAAAGTCCTCCAATTCCCGAGCTAGATCTGCCATAGTGTTTAAAATAGTCTTCGTTTTCTCAATGAAGGATTCGATGGGCCGTCTCTCAGTCCTATAAACGGCTATCGTCCATGAGTCGATATCCTCTCGTAATGGTGATAAAAAACCTACTGCCAAGTATTGTGGACAATAACCGCGATAGCTTCACCCTCAGACTTAGCATAGCGTTCCTCTGGCACGATCGTGTTGGGGAATCAATTAATGCTGTGACATCGCTATCATGCACAATCATGGGTATGCCCAGTGATGACGAAAAATGGCGGTCCATAATGTACAGTGTCCACCAAAGATTACGGCAGCGATCAACAGCTGCTGCCCCCAGCTCTTGCTCCGGAAGCTCCGTGTGTAGACCTTCAAGTTGCGCAATCCGGATGGCCTGGCTAGCCTGTAATATGTTAGATTTTCCGCCCCGCGCAATTCTGAAAGCAAGCCAGGTTCTTACAAAAAGGTGTCCTGACTCTCGTCGATCAATTGAGTAGAGATACAAAGCTGCTAGAGCCATGACCTCGATGGCCAGAAGGGTATCTCTCCATATAGAACTGTAATCCGGCATCAAAGACATGGCACGAACAAAGTATGCTGCACCTGGCGGGTCTCTCTTCTTAGACTGGTCAAGAAACGCTTTTCCAAAGGACAACACTAGCAAAAACTGGATGAACCACAGCCGACTATCAGTTGCTTTCTTGGTTGCATCGCCGTAGTAGAACTCTTGCATATGCGCTGTGAAAGTCTCCTCGTCCAAAAGCCGGAAAGTCTGGCCCAAATGGAACTTGACTGTGTTGAAAAGATAAAGAGCGTAGTCCATAGACGGGAGACCGCTGATGTCAGGAGCAGCATCAGAAGACGACTTCCACTGTAGAGGATAGATATCTCCATCAAGATAGTAGGGAATATCGTAGGCCACGTCCGGATGCAGCCTTTGAGACATCATCAAAGTAAGACGAGCGGTAAAAGACCAAGTAGATGTTGGAGCCAGCCAGACTAGTCAGGTCAGCCGCATGCGCATACCAACCAGGATTACATCAGAGAGGAGAGTGCCTGGTCTTACTCCATCGGGATAATCGATTATCATGGGTGTTCCTCATCGTCATTGAGGGCAGACCAAATGGACTGGGCCAATTTGCACCTGGAGAACGCGATTCTGAACCGAGAACATCTAACAGAGTAAGACTACAGCGAGGAGACAACAGAGTTTGCCCGCGTCATATACATACTTTCGACTTCCTCGAATGCAACATCGTGGGTTCGTTTCTTCGTCGTCTCATGCTGCTCTTTAGCCTGTGTCTGCAACTCACGGAGGCACCTGCCGCATTATGAGCATCGTATGATCCATAGCCATCCGATCCTTTGGAAAAGTACCGTTCCGATATCAGAACCCTACGGTTTTCCTCGGAAAACCGACAAGGAACAGCGCGTCTCTGACAATTGGCGCATGGTTCGACCCCAGAGCATTTGATCTTGCTCTGACGACAGGCAATACATCTGGATAAGCGGGGTCAACATCGGCAAGCTAGTTTCCAAATTACTTTGCAGGTTTCTTACGCGTTTGCCGTTCGTTTTACCTTGCGGGGCTCGGCTTGCATCGTGAAGATCACCCGAGACACCAAGGAGTAGACCCTTAGGCAAGCGAGTAGTCCGCCACGATGATTGTATCTCAGGACATTTTGACTCTTTTGGACTTGGATAGGAAGGAGGGATTATGATAAGCTAGGAGGATGAGGGGAAGACGCCGATCACGAGACCGGCTCGGTCTTATCAAAACCCACAGACAATGTCTTTTTTTCTCCAAACTAGTTACCCGTTCGGGAAAGACGCGTATGATTGCTTATCTTCGTCCGTCTTTCTACACTGGATTCTGTCTTCTGATAATATCGCACAAATGAAGTTTAGACATAAATATGATGCCCAGGTCCAGTACTTTTTGGGCTTGGCTTGCGAAGGAGCGCTTACCATGGAATACGAATTGACATAGTTGAGAGCGAATGACCCCCTATAAGTCGAAGATAGTCTCTGTACGATATTGTATCTGAGTGACCTGCGACGGAATTTCAGAGTTCAATTGTCTGCAAGCTTGACAACAGTCGAAGGTCAGTTGAGGATAGACGTCCGTCCTGACCTGAGAATTCTAGTAATATTGTACCATTAGCAAGTCATGTGTATTTGGAATAGATACCAAAGCGCCTTCGTCCGCATGAATACCGACCCCATATTGCCTATGAACGCCAAATCAGAAAGGACGCCTCCGGGAAAAAAAGGATCCCAGCCATATATCCCAACTGTCCCATTTGCCAAACAGAATCAAAGAAAGGTCACTATATAATCATGAATCATGTCCGTGAACATGCCCGAGATCCCGCCTCCCACAATCTCGTAGTTTCCCCGGTTGCCATCCCAAAGAACCATTGGCCCATTGTTCTGATAACATCCGCATCCATCTTGCGAAGGTCAAACAGGCGAGTCGGACGCATTATCAGCGAGTTGCCGTCAAAATACGCCTCGATCAGCCGAGCATGTTGGGGGCCCATAAACGAGAAAAGCAGGACCTTGGAGGCGGCTTGATTAGTTTCAGGTATTCTGATGGAGTGGAGAGACAGATTTTACCGGTGCAGTCAACTGCTCGACAAAGCGGACAGACTTCATATGTGCGATCATCAAGCGTAGAGTGACCATTACTTCTCCTCGTAGGACCTTTGCGTTTGTACCGTTCATATTATTGCAAACAAATGCTTTGATATGGGGTTGTGGGCCCTTGGCAAGTTTGGTAGCCCACACAGTTAGCCATTCAGGGTAGCTAAACTGATGCAAGTTCGTGAGAGGCGGCTCATCAATGCTGTTGTGTAGTCAGATGCAAGAATATAATATCAATAGGCAAACGGCAAGAGCTGATGCTTACCTGAGATCTGACTGCAGATTCTTGAGCTCATAAGCCTCGTCACGATCGCTAAAGTCACTGCAGATGGAAATATAACCAGAAAACCGGTCCAAAAGGAAACGTGAACAGTATAGTGGGTCTCTGTGATGTTCAGGAAATGAATCAAATTCAATAAACTCTCTCCCTTCTCCTGTCATGCTCTCAACAGGATCGGCCATTATAGAGGCAGAACAGGGCGTGAAGAAGATAGGCCTAGCATCGGATTTTTCTTCTAACTCTAAAGGCAAGATACTAATCTTATGGAGCTTTCCTCGATGCGCATCGAATTCATGAACTTCGAGCTCCTGGACGTAATCGCAGTATGCGCGTAGAGTTTTACGTAGCTTCCGGCGTTCTGCGGGCTCAGAGACAGACATGATGGATGGTAGGACGGATTCAAAACATTGAATCATTGACAATGTCGATAACACAAGTACTAAACTGGGGAGCAGTGCAGCCAATCACACGTCCTCCTCCCCAAACTATAAATCACGTGCACAACCGCCGGAAGACCTCAGGCAACAGCCTTATCGGAGGTTATCGCAAGCAAGCCGTGACGTACCGACATCGCCGGCTTCAATCTTCATCTCACACCCTGTACACCTCTCCACAAGACGCATAGACAATGGCATCATCATCCTTTCTGAAATCCCCTCCGCCCCTCGACCTCCCACCCTCCACCTCCACCACCAACCCCCTTTACGTGACCATCCGCTTCTCCGCCTC